GGCGCTGCCGGAGCTGAAGCAGATCAGCCGGGTGGAGGCGATGCGCCTGGGGCCGGGCTGGAGCCACTCGTGCCACGCCATGCTGTACGCCGCCAACCCCGGGCAGCTCTTTGGCCGCATCCCCATGCGCTTCTCGGTGCTGGTGAGGACGGGTGCGGACGGGGCACGGGCAGGGGCGCCACACCGACCCCGCGCCCGTGACCCGGCGCTCCCCTTGCAGATGCAGATGCGCTTCGACGGGCTGCTGGGCTTCCCCGGGGGCTTCGTGGACCGGCGCTTCTGGTCGCTGGAGGACGGACTGAACCGGGTGCTGGGCCTGGGCCTAGGCTGCCTGCGCCTCACCGAGGCCGACTACCTGAGCTCACACCTAACCGAGGGCCCGCACCGCGTCGTGGCGCACCTGTACGCGCGGCAGCTGACGCTGGAGCAGCTGCACGCCGTGGAGATCAGCGCGGTGCACTCGCGCGACCATGGCCTGGAGGTGGGGCCGCTGCCCGGGCCCCGCCCCCCGCCCCGGGGTTTGGCTCTGGCCCCGCGGAAGGCATCGATGGGTAACACGTCTCCTGAGGGTCCCCTGGCCGGGCTGGGGCGGGGGGGTTGTCGCTGTCTCCAGCAACTGGGCGGTGCCATTGCCAATCCTGGGAGTGGGCACTGGGAGCGGTGGGGAGGGCGGGATCGGCCAGTGGTGTTGGATGGGGAGGTGGGAAATTGGGGGGTTCTGAGCTTTGGGGATCTTCCGGGTGGATATGAAGGCCCTTGGGGTTTATGGGGTTTTAGTCTGGAAGGGCTGGGAATGACTCAGGTACGTGGGCTTCACAAAGGGACCGGGGAGCATGGGGTGGTAAAGGAGAGGAGTGGCTCCGGCGGCTTCCTGCCTGCCATGGGGCTGCATGGGGTTGGCCTGGGAACTGCTTAGAGGAGGGGCTGCACTGCACCGAGGGCTCTGCCTGGGTCTCCCATCACATCCTTGGCAAAACCGGCTACCCTTCCCTGGCCTCACAGCCCATGGCCCTCCCACCAGGGGTGTGCTGTCTGCCCCAGGGCCCGGCCCCCAAACGGCCTGTCCTGCAGGTGCTGGGCCTCGTGCGCGTCCCACTGTACACACAGAAGGACCGAGTGGGCGGCTTCCCCAACTTCCTGAGCAACGCCTTCATCAGCACCGCCAAGTACCAGCTCCTCTTCGCCCTCAAGGTGCTCAACATGATGCCGGAGGACAAGCTGGCTGAGGCCCTGGCTGCGGCCACGGAGAAGCAGAAGAAGGCCCTGGAGAAGCTGCTCCCGGCTTCCTCCTGAGGTGGTTCCTGTGCCCCGTGTCTGTGCCCCGGGGCCTGAGGAGACGCACCCCAGATTCCCGTGGGAGTGTGTCCTCTAGCGTGTTTCTGTGTTTGCACCCCCTCCTAGCTGCCTGGGGCCAGTGGGCATCTTGTCACTGGGCAGTGCTGGGCCAGCTGGATCCCAGCTGCCCCCTCAGGTTGGTCAATGGGCGGCCTGGGCACACCGGGCCTGGCTCTGGGCCCCAGATGTTCTCACCCACCCCAGGCTCGAACTCGATCTCCTGTGTCTCTCTGGGCTGCTGGAGGCCATTTCCCAGGGGAGGCGCACGGCTCTGTGACCCAGAGGCGGACACGGGCGGGGGGGGGCGCCTGCGCT